TTCTCCTCTCCTTCCCATTCCAAGACCAGCACAGGATTTCTACAGAAAAGAGATGTAGAGAGAGAGGCTTCTTATTTTTTACACACTATGGGGTTCCCTGAGAACAACCACTTCCTAGGGAAGCCCAAACTGAAAAAAGAGATTGGAATGACAGTCCAAAATTTATTAAAAAAAAAATGAAACCTATGATAATTGGTTATTTTTGCAATGAATTCACTGAATTCATTGCAAAAATAACAAATAATTGCAATTCATCTCTGACAACAAAGGCCCCATTATTATGAGGAACTTTAGCATAGCAGATTACTCAAGGAATAAAAAATACTTCAGAAAGGAAAAGGAAGATAAGAAAGAGAAGTTTAAGGATTCTGTGAATGGATTTCAGCAGAGGAGCCAGAAGGCAAAAAAAGAGCTGGAAGGATGCTTATGATAACTTGTGTTAACTTTGACATGAGTGTCAAGATTCAGAGGAATTTGGGACAAGGAAAAAAAAAACCACGCAGGAAGATTTGCTGTAAATTGTGAAAAAAAAACCAGTCCTCTGAACAATATTAGGATGCTATGCCACTAGTTCAAGTGCACTCTGAGGTTAACAAATAGTAGGAGCTTCCTGGAGGTCCCCACTACACCCTTTCCAAAAATAGGAGTGATCTTTGCTTTCATTTGCAAGGATAGACGTACTTAGCAGCTAAGGTGTGCTGTGCCAGAGTTATGCTGAATAAATAAGGCTGTAATGAAAAAATTGTCTGAAGCATCCCATTGAGGCTCTCATTTCCCCCTAATAATTCAAAAATGTAATAAATATACATCTATCTCTCTCATACCTTTGACTATAATACATTCATTTTGTCACCACTCTAGTCTCTCATTTAAGAAAGAGCAGGACAGTTCCATCATCCTGTTTCCCTGAGCAGCGTGGAGATCCTTCTCTCATGGATTTCCAACAAGACATAGTGAACATCTGCCGCTTGCAGCAAATATTGATCAGAGTGTTTGTAAGGCTCCTCCACCTGCCCTTAATTTCCCAACAAAGCCCTTCATTATTATTCTACAGTTAGTCAGAACAGTCATGCAGTTCCTTTCTCCAGTGCATTTGCCAAGTAAAAAGCATCATTAGTCAGAGAAGGAGAAAGATGTCCAACAGTGAGAAAAGGAGTGGACACATCAATAACATGCATTGCAGAGTAATTCTTATTTCTCTTTCAGTAAATAAGGCTGAATTTCTAAAAAACCTGTTATTAACCATTGTATGTCTTTCTGTAATAATATCTGTGAACTTCCTGTACCAATTCATGAGGCTTTGCAGAAGCTTGAGAGAAAGATTTTTTTTCTATTTATGAAACTCAACTTTCATATCTGAAATATAGGCACATACATTCAGCCATTGTTACCATCTTGGGGTGATGGACTTTATATAAACTGGAAGTATTTTTTCAGTACCAGCACAGTGAAATATACATGTGATAAATATTTCTAGTATATACTGGTAGACCATTATCAATCCCAGTGAGCAGAAAGTCCACATGTAGAGGTGCTGCTGTATTATTTCTTTGTTGCTGAATATTCAGACTGTGGTCTGAACAGATGTTTTGCAACCTCTACCATGCTAAAGTCCTAGGATAAATACTCTCTATCACACCCAGGCATGGAATTACTCCATCTCCACCTCCTCCTTTCCTTCCAGTATCAGTTCACCACCATCATGTCTTCCTCTAGTCCATTCTCTGGACCCTCCATTGTTTCCTCCAAACAGGCTGGCAGCCATTTGAAATGGTGGTGGCTGGAGGAATCCTGAAAATAGCTTGGCTTCATGCCAAACTGCAGAATCCTAGTAAGTTCCTGTATTTGTTCCACAAGACAGTGACTGTCGATCATTGCCCAGGAGAACCATTTCCCCCAACATGGTGTGAATCAACGCACCACAGTGCGTATGCAACAAATGTCAGGAATTGGGGGTTGAACCACAATATATAAATCATATGAATAGACATTTTAACTCTAGCTAGTACATATTGGTTATTTCCAATAAAATGTATTCCAAAAGCTTTTCTTTATAAACATGGAAATTATTTCTCACAAACAGTCCTGCTGAGTTGCAATGTAAGATGTAACCAAAAGCATGTATTCTATTACCATCTATTAAAACCAGGTGAGGCAGTGTTCTTTATCTTTTCCACAACCCATCCCTCATAACTCCAGGGGGGATATCTTCTGTTAATGGGCCATTGAGTCCCACTGCATGACTGATAAAAGTACATCATCCCATTGTGAGATGCTCACCCAGGGAAGGAGCCAAGCATTCCTACCTGAATCTGAGACTTAGAACACTGCAGTCAGCCTTTCTCTTCTGGATTCCCAGAAGACTGGACCCATCTACACCATCACTGGACCTTCAGAGGAAAACTACACCCTTCTGCAGGATCACTCCTTCAACAGATCCACATCTGTCACTCCAGGAGGACTGCAGCCATCATTGAAACAGACTGATACCAACACTCTGACCAACAGGGTGTCAGGTTGTATTCTGACTCTGTCAGAGAATTTTTGTACTTTTACATTTTTATTTTAATTTTCCTAGTAAAAAACTGTTATTCCTATTCCCAGATTTTTGCCTGAGAGCTCCTTAATTTCAAAATTATAATAATTTGGTGGGGGGGGTTTACATTTTTTCCATTTCAAGGGAGGCTCCTGCCTTTCTTAGCAAACACCTGTCCTTTCAAACCAAGACATTAAGTTATCAGACCCATTCAAAACAAATTAAAAACAAACATTTTCAAAACTAAATAAGGTGTCAACATATGGTTAAGTAACCTTATGAAAACAATTACAATTAATTAAAAGTAATAAAATAAATAATTTAAGGCTATCCTAAAACTTTAAAATGGCCACATGATGGTCTTAATCTTACCAGACTAAAGAAGAGGTGGAAGCAGGGCTATGGATATCTTCTGGTAACATCAGCCAGAATGGTCTTCAGCCACGCAGATTTTTTCCTACATTATTACTGAATGCTGCTGCTATCTGTTCATGCAGGTATCAGCAAAGTGATTTGAACAGACTTTTACTTTGGGAAAGACTCCTCAATTCTGAATTAAATGAAATCATAGAATTAGTATTAACAGCCTTGATTCTGACTCAAAACCGCAGCTTTTAGTTATATTATTTTTCACCTTTCTTTCCAAGTTTTCTTTCTTTCTTTCTTTTCAAGTGTTGTTTTATTCAACAGGAAATGTTGCTGGGCATTAGGTGTGTCAAGAATTACATTACTTATATAAGTTACTTACATAATGGGTACTTCTGGAATCCTAGTAGTTTGTATATCAGTTGATAGGAAAATGTGAAAATAATGAAGATTTTGAGAAATACACTGTTATATATATACATTCACCTGAATTTGAGTAACATATACTAACTCGTTCATTTTACATTAATATATTTAGCATGTGCTAAAGTCTAAGATATATGCAGAGAAATACAGAATTTCTCACATATATTGGTGTTTACATTCTATTTTATGTGTTTTTTTCTGAATAACATTGCATTTTAGTTCACATGTCAAGACTACTGCTGAGAACAGCATATCTTTTTTTGCAGACCTGGGTCTTGCCTACAGCAAGAAGCAGTAAAGTTAATTTATAGAGCTTTCCTGTGGGGGAGACACATATATCAGTCTAAAATTTAATATGCACAAGGTAACATTAACTTGTTTTAGGAAGGAAATAAGCTATGTCAACACAAGCTCCACTGTTAGAACAGGCATATTGTACAAAGCTGTACTAGTATAATAGCTCAAACTAAGAAAAAAAAAAGAAAAAAAAATCCATGCCATTAAATGTAATAGTTGTGCCAGTGCATTCGGTGATGAACACCTCTTTGCCCTATTAATTGCTGAAATAAGTAAAATTCTCGGGTGAATATTGTCACGGCAAAAGTTGTAATAGTTCGTGCACTGGAGGAGATAACATACAATTAAACTCCTAGGATGAGGCTGGCTGTCTGGAGAGCTAAGGATGCCAGGGCAGGAAAGCCACAAGAGAGCTATAAAGGCGATGAGTAAAAGCACTGTTAGCGGAGGTGATAAGGTCTTCTGTGCAGCACCGGGGATCACAGGAAAAAGAGAGGGATATGGGTGTAATGTGAACAAGTCCATGGCCCAGGGTGTCTGTGGTAGAAAGAGGGGACAGAAGCAATATAATTTCTCTGAGTTTCTACGAAATAAAAGGTGAGATGAAGCGAAGGAAGAGCAGGGTGAGGCGGGAGGCGGCTGGCTGCCAGGCCGGGGCGGTGGCAGGGCGCAGTCCCGCTCTGCCGGCGGGCCAGGGCCGGGCGCGCCTCAGGCGGAGCTGCCCGCGGCGGCTTCCGCGGGAGCCGCGTCCGGCGCCGACCGAGCCGCTGACAGGACCGTCAGCTGCTCCTGGGAGAACAGCACAGCACATCCCCTGGCGTTGTAGCCAGCGACCCGCAAAGTCCTACGGGGTACTTCCGTATCGCTTCGACCCGGCAGGAGAAAAAAAAAAAAACCCAAAGCAACACCAATGACAGAAAAAAAAAAATATTTTTAAATAAATCAACCCAGTGCTTGAAAACCGCGCGGTTTAATGCCCAGCAACAGGTGCCTGAAGCTGCAGGGAGTTTACAGACGGGGACTCCCCGAAGCAGGGCAGTGGGACGGCCCTGCCAGACGGAGAGCTTCGGATCCCCGGCCTGGCCGAAGAGGACCAGCACCGTGCTACGGCCGCCACCGGCGCCTGCGCCTCCTCCTCCTCCTCCCGCGCTGCCCGGGCCACCGCCGCCGGCCTACAAGTCCCGTCACGCCCCGCGCCGTCGCGGCCGCTGCCGTCGCGCCCCGTCCCCCCTCCCGCGCCGCTCCCCGCCCACTGCCGGCAGCGCACGCGCAGCGGGGGCGGCGTCCGGGGCAAGTCTCCCCAATGTAAGATGGTGGCCGGGCTGGCAGCGGAGCGCCCCGAGCTCGGAGATCGTCCGTCCCTCGCGTAAAGGTCGTCGGAGCAGCCGCCCGAGCACCCGACCGGCCGCCGCCGCACGTCCCGCCCCAGGAGCGCCGCTGTGGGTTTCTCCCCTCCGCTTCTCTCTTTCCTCGCCGCCTCTCTCCTTCCCTCCCCACCCTTCTCCTTTTCCCCTCGCCTCCTTTCCCGCACGCTCGCTCACTCACCCACCCGCCCGGCCGCCCCCGCCGCGCCGGGCGGCCTGAGAGGGAGAGCCGCGCACACGCACCGCGGGCCGGGCAGGCAGGAGGAAGGCGGGTGAGTGTGAGCTGAAGGCCGGGCCGGGGAGGGAAGGAGGGACGGAAGGAGAGACGAGGAGGAGGCGGGGGGGAGCCGGGCCGCTCTGACTACGAGAGCGCCGAGGCTTCGCTGGGACGGCGCAGGCCGCAGCCCACCCGCCGGTGCAGCCCCGGCGACGGGAGGACGCGCCGGGCCGCTGCCGGGCGCCGAGGGCACCGGGCCGTGAGGAGAGGGCGCGGGGGCGAGCGGGCGGTTCCTCCTCCCCGGGGGCGCCGGGGAAGGGGCTCCCTTCGTGTAGCTGTTAGGAGGAGGCTGTATTTATTTCCTCCTCGCCCCCCGCCTCCGGTGCGGAGAAGCCCTTGGGCCAGGCCGGGCCACCGGCCGGGGTGGCGGAGGGACGGTGGCCCCGGAACCGCTCGCATTTGCCGGGGCAGGCCGGCGCGGGCATCGCGGCGTGATTCACTTAGAATTTGCGTGGAAATTTCCTCTCTCCCCTTCTTCCTCTTCCCTGGAGCCAGGCTCCATTTCTTCTTGTGATATGCACTTTTTTCCTGAGGGAGAGGCAAACAGATGGTGAATGGCAGCCTCTTAATTTTGGTGTTATTTTGGACAGTCCGTGCAACCCCTCCTGAGATTTGTCTGTCAGTAAAATAACCGGTATGTAACTTTCTGTCTCATGCTTGCAAAATCCTAGAAGCTCTTTCCATTTTGTGCATTAGCAGAAGCAAATGACAAGGTTGTGTGTATGAGTGCTTGTCCTGCTTCTAGCGACAGTCCTACAGCTCTACCTGCCAGTTTAAAAGTGAGAAGCCAGTGCTTTTGTATGTACAGGAAAGGGGAGGGAAAATACACTAGATAATTATCTTAAAATGCTTTGCTACCATACCAGAAAGGATTTAATTGTCCATGGCTTGTGTTCTTCTGTCAGTGTGGTAATACCAAGTATGCCGTTCACAGGAGAAAGCAATTCTCTCCAGAGCCTGTGTTAATGTAAGCAAAACCTATCAGCTGCTTAAAGCTGTGGAAATGCTAGACCTGCAGATGTTGGCTTACTCCTGTCCAAAAGTTTTAGAAGTTAATGTTGGCCAGTCACATGTTTACTGAGCCTGTACAGGTTTCTAACTCTCTGTGTTTTAACTGTCTGTATTTGGCTTTAGTTTTGAAATGTCTTGACTTGAACATCCCTGTACTTTGACTTCATATTCATGTAAACATGGTGTCTGGCACTAACAGAAGAGCACACATACTGAAAGATGAGTATGTAGAAGAATGAATTTTTTTCTAGCCCCTTTCACTGCTTAAAAAGGAAAGAGAAAAAAATAAAATACAGGCTTAGGAAGAGCAGGGAATAAAACAGCTGTTTGACTCAAGAGAGTGAATTAGTTTCAGATGGCCTACAAATAGTCAAATATACTGCTAGTTTCTTAGCACCTCTGTAATAATGTAGTGATCTAACTTGTAGTCTAGGATTCAGCTGTGCTGCACCTTAGGCTTTTGGAATTCTGAGATAGAGTTTCCATTTCATAAACGAGATGAACACATGCAAGTGTTTAGAAATGCTTGGCAGTTAAACTTGGCTGAATTGTAAACTGAGTTCATTTTAGGGGAAAATATTGTTTTGGAAAGGGGAATACAGTGAAAAAATTATGTCGTCTTTTGATTTGCATGTTTCTTCAGGTGCCTTTTTGTTAGCTTTTAAAATTAGGAGTGTTGGAGGATCCTAACAGTTTTTTTCTTTACAGAGAAAAGGTGGCGAGTGTCTGTCAGGAATAGTGCTCTACAAGTTTCTTGGTAACTCAGAAAGTTTAACAACATCCTTAGAGTGCCCACTAAATAAAAATCTTGGGTTAAAAAGACTGGTGAGAGAGTGTACACAAGTATGTGGCTTTTTTTATTTAATTAAAAATAGTCTTTATGTAGAAATACATGTTTTCCTTCATGGCTATTGTTTATAGAAGTTAGGATATTATTTGTGATTTAAATGTTTTTAAAATAGCTCTGACCAAGATCCTAAGTATGGGCCCTGAGGGCTTAACTCTGGCAGCTATTTCTCAAAATCTCACCTGCCTCTTTGAAATAAATGAGATTATTTCAAATAGACTGCTCTGTAAGCACAGGTAACTGTTAAGTGGCTGATCACAGATTGCATCTTGGGTCTTGGTTGCTCTGGTAAGATGAGGCTGATCTATGGGCCTTAATATATGCTGAACAGAAATTACTTGCTCAGCAAGACTGATAGGGTCAAGGGTTCCTAAACTTTCACACGGAGAATAGTGCCTTAGGTTGTACAAAGCACCTCTTGTCCCTCTTGCAGTTATGCTGTATTGCTGAGATAACTTGAGTAAGTGCATATGTGAAAGACTGCATAACTTACCTTACTTCAATGTCCTGTCCTGCTGAATGCTTTCTCTTTTCAAAGATGTTCATGCTTGCTTTTTTTTTTTTTCCCTGTGTTTATATTTCTACCTGCTTAGTCCCCTTTTTATTGGATAGTAACTGTGTAAGGAGCTAGAGCTTTATGAATAAATAGTCCCCATCCCTCTGGGCTGCCCTCTTCTGTTTCTTGGAGAATAGTCTATACATTTATTCCGTTCAGAATGTTGGTTAACATTTTAACAACTGCAAACACTTTTCAGACTTGGAAAATTAAGTATAGCAGCAAATGGTTTGGTATGGCTTGAGCTGCTGCTCAGACCTTCTGGTTCTTCCTGTAAGTAAACTGGGAGGGCAGTGCAAGTGTCTAGTAGGAAATATGAATATAACATCTCTAAGTAAAAGCATGTGTGTGTTTTTGCATTATACTGTTTTGATAAGTTAGGTGCATTATTTTACCAGACTGAGGTTTTTTTCTGTCACACTAGAAACTTTTATGTGCTTGGTTATGTCAGATGGTGTTTTTCTTGCATGAGTTTGTAAAAGGAATCTTCATTGTTTCCTTATTTCAAAATTGTATTCAAGATTATACAGATTTAGTGAGTATTCAGAATACATGGTTTTGGCTTCTGCTTAGCTGCTATTAGAATGGCTGCATCAGCTCAAAGGGAAGAATTGGTGTTTAAACTAGTGATTTCCACATAGTACTAAGATCAAGTAAGTTTTGTAGTGATATGTTTTTTATTATTTCCTTCCACTTGGCTGTTCTGGGAACTTGACAACTCCCAGGTATTTCTAGTAGGACTCTACCATCATTTAAATGCAGCTTGCAAGTGTTTTCTAAACACGTAGGCACAAAATAAGGTTTTCATAAATCTCATGCATGTGCTTTAATAACTTGAGGAAGCCTGCATCCAAAGCTATTGAGACAAATACAGGCCAAGGGAATGAAACTTTTCATCCTTCCCTGTGTATCCTGAAAGCTATGTACTGTGTTTTTATTCTGGAGCAGAATATGTTAGTGTTGATTTCATAGTAATTAATCAGTCATTAGTATATTTTTATTAAAGTATTTCATCTGTTGCTGGTTTTCAAATTGGGGAAAAATAGGTTTGGATCAGTATAAGGGGAATTTTTTTATCGTTTAGTCACGGAGTTAAAAATAAAGGTGAATGTAGAGATCAAGCAAACATGTTGCTGAACTTGGTGGAGAGGGAGCTTGGATCTTTGCTAAGGCTTGTTGTCTGATCAGTGCTGTCTGATTTTGAGCTGGTTCTGTTCTCTTGAAAGGGAAGAAGGGAAAATCTCATCTGTCTGTGAGTAGCTTTCTAACATGCTGTGATTCCAGCATCTGTTTCTTCTAGCTCACTGTTGTCTTGAGAGCAATAGATGCCTAATACAAGGTGGGTTTCAACTGAATACAAAATCTGATGTAAAGTAGTTGTACTTCTGCATATCTTGTTTGTGAGATGGAGGGTCCTTTGTTGTAGTGCAGGTTCTTGTCCTGTCCCTTTCTGGGCTTTGAGTAATTTACTTTTCTCAGCTTAGCAGCCTTTCATTGCTGGAAGGTGATATTGCAATATTTTACATTTGATTGCAAGTATCAATTATTAGTACTAGAAATTTGGGGTGGTGTTTTTGTGTTGTTAAGGTTTGGTTTTCTTGTTTTCTTTTTTCAAAACAAATTAAGTGAAAAAAACTGCAGAAGTGGCAGCACACTGTCTTCACTTCTAATGAGTTCTTCAAATTTGGAACAGGATCACATGAGCTTTGTAGGGATGGCCAAAAAATGTCATAGGTGTGTGTACTGTGATTTGCAAGTAGTGCTTCATCCCAGGTTTTACTTTGGCCCATTTTTAGGCCTTTTTTGCGGTTAAGTGCTTATGTTCCAGACTGCTGAGGCCTAATCTTTTCCTTGCTTAACAGAAGGGGCATTTATTTTTTCCCAGTGTGAATGTTCTTAAACATTTTCTTCCATATAAGATTCGATACACAAAAGTAGTAACTAGAAGGGTAGCAATCTTACTCCTTGTAGGATAAAATATACTGCATAGGAGGACTTGCTAACAATTTTTCAGGTTAATTTGTTTCAGGAACACTGAATTCAACAGAAGAGATTTATTTGCAAGCAGGCTTCATGTTGTATTTTGGTGTAAAGTTTTTCGCCAGTATAGATTTAATGTGGATCCTGCTTGAATAGTGTATATTAATTTTAAATTGCAAGATATATGAGCTAAGACACCTTGAGTATGAAATACTGTACTTGCAGGAGGAGTACTTTTTTTATTTCTAAACCTGTCTCTTATTACATCTTACAGTAAGTTGCTGTCTTAAAAAAAAACCCAGAATTTGAGTGCAGGACTGGGAGGAAGTAATTATATTTGTATGTACTTTGGAACTGCCTACCTGAGGGAGTTTGTGATAGAAGTTTTGATGAAGGTTATGTCCCAGATAGGTAAGCATGTGGTGGCTGTTGTTCAGAGTTTGTTTTCTACTGCAGCCTAGAATTATAGAAAAACAGGATAGGGAAGAAGTATGCAGCAATAATCACTAGATGTGGGGAGAAAGTATTCAGCTACTTTTTTGTCTTTCTGTCTTCTCTCCAGATATAATGAATGAAGATAGGTATGTGTAGCTATAGCTGT